AAAAAAAAAAAAAAACTAGAATTGCACCATGAAGGGTGTGGTTAAGGCGGGACTCCAACATGTATATAAAGAAAGCCCAAAATGGGTTGAACGGTCACAGTCAACAAGTCCACTAACCAAAATGCATCAATCCAACGAAAACGATACAACGACAACAAGATAATCAATAAGTGTCAGATCTTGGTCCGAGATGGATCCAGTCGAGAAGTCAGCCCCACGGGAGAGCGGCGGCATCGAAAGGTAGGGTCGGCTACACGGATCGGAATGAGGTATATCCCGTCTGATCAAGTTGCATAGTTCTTTCATCATAGAACAATGCATATAAAAAATTGTTCTACCTGCAATAGAGAAACTTAACTGCAATATTGGGAAGAAAGAAATGTTTTGAGATAATTCTAAGACCCTTATGATAATAGTTTTAAATTTCTTATCTGTTGCAAATCAAGATTGAGTTTTCCTTTCCATTTTCATTTTTTTTTTTTTTTTTTCCGTTTGAAAATTTTAGATATCTGGAGCTTTAGCTTCTCCTTTCCCCTTAGCTGAGCAGTTTTTGAAGAAAGATGTGAGAAATCTTGATTTCTTTTAATGTGATGTGGAGAGTTGTGTTCTTGAATAATCCAAATGGTGTTCGATTCAAATCTCTTTTCCACGTCGAATAATCTACCAATCGACACTGTACATACTACAAACCGATCAGATGTGAGTGTTTTATATGCATTGCGGGTGCGGGTGGCTGCCGAGCTCCCTAGTACATTGGCTGCTATACATACTTTTTGCTGAAGTTATTTATTTTAAAATTAATATTATATTTTTTTATCTTATTTAGCAATTGTATTTTTTAATAAGTTAATTTATTTTAATCTTATAGTAAAATTCTTTAAAATCGCATAATTAAATGTTATAATAATATTAATATTTTTAAGCTAATAAATTGGCGGTCTCTCAAAATTACATTATTTATTATATTTTATGTAATTAATATTTAATACAGCGGTTCATATGCAATCAAATAGTTATGTACTATTTATTTTAACCAATAATCAAATTTTAAAACATAATATCATTATTTAATTTATATTTTTATTATTATATGCATAAATATAATTTATATACCCTACGTTTAAAATTTAATACCATTGTATAACTTATAATTTTAATACTATATGCATAAATGTAAGTTATAATATTCTATTTACAGTGTGCAAATGCACAGAGTCAAATACTAGTATTATATAAAAATAACAGTTTTTTGTGGAGCAAATATTTCAAACTAGTAGAAGACCAACTAATATCATGATATATTTTATTTTCTAAAATAATATGTGCAATTAAATAATATTTTGACATATTAAATAAATTAAAACAATATGAACAATATATGTAGAGTAGATGTAGTGCGAACGGTTGGAGGCCGGATTTGATTTTTGGTTATGTAACAGCCTAGTCAACCCAGGGTAGGATATTGTCCGCTTTGGACACGCTCACCCTCACGGTTTTGCCTTTGGGAGCTAGCTCACCAAAACATGTCCTACAAGTGAAGGTATATATTATGTCGGAGTATATACCTAATTTATTAGCCAAGTGTCTATAAATTCTAGATTCTGATGGAGTCCCAGTGAATTCCATCCGAATGTGCACACGATACCTGACCAAGTGTTTGGGAGCGAGCAATAGAATCCC